TTAAAGCTCATATATCTATGTAAATATAAATACATATGAAAGCAAAGAAAACAAATCAAAGAAAGCAGAGATAGACAGAAATATCTATCGATTGATATATGAGCTTCCTTTGCTTAATGCTTACTGTTGTGTCTGTGCTTTTTAACAAAGACTCTGTGTGTGTGTGTGTGTGTGTGTGTGTGTATACACAGAGAAAGAGAGAAAGTATATATAGTATAGGGGTATAGGTTATCGCCATGTCGGTCTAAGGACATAGACAGACAAGGTTCTTTCAATTTACATCTTCACCGACATCTTCACTGACTGCCTATCTTGCATGAATACCAGCCTAGTCTCTGGTTGCTTTGCTGGCTTCTTTACTATTCATTCCACCCAGGAAGAGCACACACCAACCACAGAGACTTCCTCAGCCTGATGAAGGGTTTTTAAACCTGAAAGCTTGCTAAATTTTTTTCCCCAACTTTTAAGTTGGTCTAGTAAAAGATATCAGATTCACCCAAAGAACCTTGTCTGCATATATAGCATAGTATATACAGTATGTGCGTGTGTGTGTGTGTGTGTATTATTCTACTATTATAAAAGCCTATGTCTGTCTGTCCGTAATGCTTTATTCACGCTCTGATTGACTGACAGAAACAGCTGGAGTGCTTCAAGTGTGGGAGAGTGCCGCCATGATTCCAAAGCTGAGCCGAGGACCAGACAAAGGGTGGGGGAGCTAAGGCAAGGCTCCCCCACCCCGCTGCCTACAAGGGGGTGGGGGAGCAGGGGCCAGCACTGCAGAACAGCAGCAGAACAGCGGCAGCGTGGGGCGTTAGGTGGTGGCACTGCATCTCAGGCCCCTCCCCGCCTGTCATTCTTGACGGGCAATTGGCTAGTGTGTGTACACACACACACACACACAGAGTGCGTGTTGGAATACATTCAGGGAAGAAAAAGGATGAGATAATACGATGAGGCAGATTAAATACAGAGCCCCATTCAGAGTTCTCGTGAGACTACGGTTAGGGGTGGATCCGTCCTTTCCCAGGTTGGACAACACCTCTGTGCCTGTGCTGGGGAGAAGAGGAGCGATCAACAGACACAGGCAAGGAAGACAACAGCGGGCGCAGAGTTTTGAGTCTCAGCAGATGACTGAGACTGGCAACAGAAAAAGAAAATGAAACTGAAAGTAGCAGGGCTGTGGAAAGAAGCCAGCTGCTGAAAACCCTGGAGCCTGGGAAGCTGAAACCTGCAGCCCAGGCAGTAATCGAAACTCATCAGTACAGCACCAGCAGCAGTAGATTCCTCTGTCCCTTCCCTTCCTGGGCAGATGCAAAAAGAGGGAGGAAACAAACCAAAACAGTGGGGAAAAAAACACAGAACAGAAAAAAAAAATCTCAAACTGAGCCCTCCTCATTTGCAGCTGCTGAATGTGGGTCCGTATGTCTGCTTTTAGTGACTGCCCCTGTGCTTTTTACAGATCCCCAGAGTGGTGACACATCCCCCCGCAAATAATAAAATCAGTCTGATAGCTGGCTGGTGGGTAAGCCTGGCGCTGAGCCCTAGCACAAAGGAGTTTTATTTAAGAAAAAAAAAAAAAAGGGCCACCTGTGACCCCCCCCGGGCACTGGGTCTGGGAAAGCCTGTGCTGTTCTATGTGCCTGGCACTTCCTTTGCCTGTACAGCTACGCGTGGATACCCAGAGCCTGGCAAAACAATCCCAGCTCTTCCCACCCTGGGCAGCGCCACCCCACTGGCACATCAGCAGCACTAGTGGGGACCACAGCTTCTAGGAAGATTCCCATCTCCTGTATATCCAGTTCCTGGAACATCTGGCATATATTGAAATGATATGTCCTCCTGCCCCCCATGGGTTTGTTTTTGTCCTAACTCAAACGAGGTGAACAGTTTCAGTTGACCAGACTTTTTATGTGTCATTTTAGTAGAGAACAGAAGAGAGCCAACTCTCCACTTTAGAAGAGGCTGTTGGTTGTAGCCCTGTTGATCTAAGGCAGCGGTTCTCAATCTGAGGTACACGTACCACCAGTGGCATGAAGACAACCTGTCAGTGGTACATGTTAAGAGATTGATTATAATGACTATATGACAAAAATTTGCTGGTGATATTTAAGGCTGAACTGAACAATTTGCTGGTGATACTTCAGGTGGTATCATTTTAAGTTGGTGGTGCGCAATCTGCCAGAGCTTGGGAACCGCTGGTCTCAGGACACAGACAGGCCGGGTTCCTTGGGTACATGTGACCTCGTTTGTTAGACCAACTAAATAGTTGGGGGAAAGTTCTTTGCAAGCTCTTTGCACAAACACAACCCAAACAAACAAAAATAAAAGCAATCTCCCAATGCCTGGAGAAGCCCAAAAGCTGGCAGAGGACTTTTTCCCAACCATTTAGTTGGTTTGGTTAATAAAAGATGTCACCTACTTTAGAAGAGAATGAAATCATCGTCACGAGGGATGTCTGGGGCTAGCTCCGCACAGAGCTGCTGCTCCCAGGCCGGGGGGAAGAGCCCGGCGGGGTGCTGGGCGCCGTGCACCCGCACCCAAGGGCGGCAGATGCTACAGGAGCCCGCGAGGCCCCTCCCGCCGTGCCCGCTCACCTGGCGCGTAGCTGCGGGCCGGGGGCGGCCGCCTGCCCAGCT